TGAGAATTTATTTGTTAAATGTGAAAATCCATCTCTTTCCCTAGGCATGGCTTGTGCAAAGTATTTTCATTTAGCCAAATTTAATGTGGAGGGAGGCAAAAGAGCTTTTTCTCTGTTTACAAGAGGCTGATGCAACCTAGAAATTCTGTATAAAATATCATTGAACAATTACAAACATGATGACATTGCTAAATTTTGAAAAGATTATAAAATCTGTTCTTCAGAAATTCTTTCCATAAAGATTATGACGATGATGACGGTAGGTCTGTAACATGTGTACAGTTTCAAACAATAAATAATTCTGGCTTGTGTAGGTTTTGCCCATATGAGCATCTATGCATGCTGAATTTTGCTGTTTCTCTGTAAGTGTATAATTGTTTTGTATAATAATTAAGGCAGTAAGAACACAAGATTTATAGGAAATCTGCAGTAGGAAAGTAGGCTTTATAAATTCTACCTGAAACTCCTTGTTTAGCATCACATTATTCCATGCAGGATCTTCAGGTTTCATATAACAGTAAAGGTTTTTGGGAAGAGGGCACTTAGAAGAATAATCTGACAGAAGTGGGTAGAAGTAATTGGAAACTTGGAGAAAATTGCATAATGAGTTCCTTGTACTCTTCACCAGATATTAGGTTGATCAAATCTAGGATGATGAGGTTGACAAGGCATGAGAAACATATACTGAGAACCCCCCCTCCCCCCCAAATCTCATAATAGCATAGATGGGAAGAGAACATTAAAATGAATCTTATAGGAATAGGATGGGAAGGAATGGAATGGATTAATTTGGTTTAGAATGGGTGTCTTTTTGGAACTCGATAATAAATCCATTGTGTTGCACAAAATGCAGTGAATTTATTGAATGGCAATGATTTGATTTCACAAGAAGGACTGTGCTCTGTGAAATTATAACAGTAAAATATTGTACAGCTTTTCATTATTGTTTTGTCAGTTTGGCAGAGTATTAGATCACATAGTTTTATGTTAGCTAATTAATGAGAATGTTGTGATATAAGAATATGCATTTGTCTGTTTTGTGTACAAAATATATATGTATTGAAAGAGAACCATCACAGTAGTAGGACCCTTTTAGACCTTGTTTTGACATTTAGGGGGGGTGGGGAACTTTTAGATATTAAATATGTGTGCTTGTATAGAGAGCAGTTGTGTTGTGATGTGTGATTTGGTTATATACGTTCCATTAACCACCTTGTTCAAACTGAGATATTTCTTCTTTTACCATGTAAAGTTTATGTGATTCACAGTCCTGTTGGCACATGTATTTCCCAATAATATTATATTTTAAAACTATATATCTGTATTCTGTATTGTATCCTGTTGTATGTTTTAATGTGTAGAATGTACAATATTACATCGAACATAAGGTGCAAATTTTAACATTTATTCCCATTGAAAAATTAAGGTGTGTCTTAAATTCAAGGGATTATTCACCAGTTTGCAAACTGTCCATGTGGTAGTCTGGAAAGAACCTAACATAAACACATTCGGAGTGAGTCATCAAGCCACATCCCCCCCCACTTTGAGTTAACTTTCAGTTCAGTCATTGCCTGACATTCTTATAATTTAGGTATTTTCAGTTTCCTGTCAATTTTTACCCATGGAAAAGCATTTTACATATGATGCCACATTCAGGAGAAAAGTTAGTTTATATGCTGAAAAGATAGGTATTCATGCAGCTGGTAGAAAGCATACAGTAAGTGAGGCATGTGCACATCATTTGTGAAGTATAAAAACAAAACTTTTCATGTCTTGACAAATAGGATGTCTTTCTGGACCAAAAAATGGTAGAAATCCTCAGATTGATGCATTTGTTTTGGAGTATTTAAAAGATTTATGAAACAAAGAATTACCTTTAACTTGGGAAACCTTCATGTCAGAAGTAAGATGCCTTTCAATGCTAGTCATGGATGGTGTGAAAATTTTATGAAGAGAGAAAGCCTATCATTATGACAGAGGGCAAAAATTGGTCACAAACTTTCTTTGGAATTTGAAACTAAATTGATTGAATTTCAGCGTTTTATGATTGGACTGTGCCGAAGGAATAAGTTTCTTTAAGGCAAATTGGCAATGCAAACAAAACTGCAGTTTTTTTGACATGCCTTGCAATTATACTGCAAATTTCAAAGGGAGAAAAAACAAGTGGCAATGAAAATCACAGGCTGTGTAAAGTTATATGTTACTCTCATGTAGTGAATGCAAACGGCAATAAATTTCCACCATATGTAATAGTGTATGCTCCCCAAAAAATGCATGAACGACATTGGAGTTAATCAAAGACTGGCTTGGATGTGTATGGGAACGTCAGCCTGGTGCATTATCAAACCATGGAGAATGCTGGCAATGGGTGCATTTTATGGCATCTCACCAATAGAATCAGAAATAGTTAAGGAACAAGAACACTGATCTAGTGATAACCACTTGGTATGTCAGTTGACAAACCATTCAGGCATTTTGTTTGTAAACACTGGGATGCTGGGCTGAATAAAGACATTTGAGTATTGACAGCTAGTGGCAAAGTAGAGCATCAGTGTCAGTAATAATGGAATTGATATCAAAAAGTTGGAAAAAAGTGCCAGTCAATAATATTCCAAAATTGGTTTTGAAGTGCTGAATGTCTAATGCGGAAGATGGAATGCAAGATGACATTTTTTTTGGACGGTATTGAACAAAATGGCAAGGGTGCATCATCTTCGGAAAATGAAAGTGCAACTGAAGGATATTTGGACGAACTTTCTGATTAAATACAAAAGATAGAAAGGAATATGCATGTATTGAAAATTTCAAATTTCCGTTTTCATTTTGAATTTGTTCAAAATAATTTCCTAAACTCCTCTTTTAAAACTTAGGTGTATTTTAAATTTGAGGGCGGCTTATATTCAGAGTACTACAGTATATTGCCATCTCACATAACACAATATCAGTGATGATATTGTCGGTATTCGTAGTGTTTTAATCACAGTATTTCGACAGTTCACACAGAATGTTGTTATTCCCTAGTTTATAATACCCAGTTGTGAACTGTTGAAATGATGTCATGAGTAAAAGATTATAACTGACAGTTAATATCGTTGTTGTGTTGTGTAGTGGTAATATACATTCATATATGGTCTACAGACTTTTTTAATATTCTCTTTGGAATTATAAATTAACATCCTCAGTTTTTCAGAAATTTAAAAGATGATTTTGCCAAAGTTATATTAATTCATATCATGTTTATGCATAATAAATTGGTAGGTAATGTGCATCACCCATGTTTTCTGACTTGTTTTACTTTGCTATTCTTTTTCATGATGTAAATACCTTAGCCTAGATCTTACTTACATAATTCCCAGTCATGAGCTTAGGAATTGTTGCTTTTCAAATTCCTACCATAATTTTTAGTGTATACTGCCTTGACATTTATTGCAGTGTAGCATTTGATATAGTGTACTATATAAAATAAACTGAAATAGCGGTTCATAATTTTCACTAGCCATTGATCTTATGTGTGTTTATTTTATAGAGTAAAGCAAAGGTATCCCTGTAACAGGCCGTGAAGGCCAATAGGGTTGTGAGATATTGAGGTTCGCACATTTTCTAGACAATCGGCTCATAGATGGCGGTAAGGTTTTCAGCCTTATGCACTGTCCGCCCTTTACCCCCAGGGCCGTAATGTGGCTGGAAGGATTAGTTTATTTTATGGCATATTAAAATATGTATTTTGAATATTTCCTTGTTGTCAGCATATGAAGTCATATAAACACATAGACAAAATTCTGTATGGTGTAATATTAACATTTTATTATTTTATATGTGTTGAAAGAACATAAGTGTTTTGTATTTACGAGTGGGAGATAGTAACTGATGTAGAATCTCATGCAGTGGCTGGTAGTGGCTGAATCTCAGTTCAGGGGCTTGGTTCGTATCCAGATTTTTTCTCCAGCCTTATAGTTCGCATTATAAACAATAACTGGTAGAGAAATGGAGAGGTGTGTGCTCTGACATTTTCATTGTTATGAAATTGGATAAGAAAATGTTGGCACAGCCTAAACCAAGAAGCAAAGATTTGTTGAAGGTAATCATAGTAAAGGCAAGAAATGAAGTGAAGAGTACTGTCTTCCACATGAAATGCCGTGTAGTCTAGTGGAAGCCATCTGAAACGTTGGTGGGCTTCTACTGGACAACGTGACGTTACAACCCAGAAGACTGGCCTCTTCATAGTCACCACTGTGAGAACCTCAAATCAAACAAAGAAAGTGATTATGCATCGGAAAAATGAAGGTCTCTTAAAGTGCTCTTTCTCCATATTGAAATTATAACAGTATAATGCCATTCATGGAGGGCAGGCATACATTTTTATTCCAGTATCGTGTGAGTGTTCAGATCATTGGCCACCAACTTGTGCTGCAAAGATCCCATGCAGCTTCAGGGTTATTTTTCTGTACCCATAAGTCCTTGTAACAGAATGTTGTGGTCAGAAATTGTGATCACAATGGTCAAAGTAAAGAAGAAAACAACTTTGCAGCTGAATTATGGTTTTGTGTTTTTTTTTGTATTGTCTGCACATTTTCAAGATTTAGCCTATTTTTGTTATTCTCTTCTTGTCTACATTTTTTAACACAATAGATCATAGGTTCAGTGACATGTATTGTCACATTTCCCATTAATTATGGTTTATTACATTTGTGATTATTAGTTTAATATTTTCAAATTTATTAATATGAAACCATATTAGCCTTGTTGCATGATATTACTCATAAAATAAGAGGTAGGTTATATTTACATGATTTTTTTTTGTGTTCTTCTCATTTCAGAATGTGGTACTTATTGCATATGTGATAATTTGGTATGGGCCACATCAAAAAAGATTGTGAACTGATGTTTCAGATGATGTTATGGCCATTGTTAAAGATTAACTTCAGATCAGTTGTGAGCTATTCTAGTCCTCCCATATAGGAAGAAACATTACATTGTTAACATGAAACAAATTGTTTCAGGTTTAATTGGAGCACTGCCACCAGGTGCCATGCATCCTTATGCTGCCCCGCCTATGGCATTTCCTGGGCCCCCCATGCTCACGCCTATGATGCACCCACGCTTCAGATGATCAGGTTTGTTGGGGGGGCTCTGGCTACTGTGGTGTGGAAGCCCCTAGATTGGCATCCCCTTCCCACTGCACTACATATACTCACGGTCAATCGCCCTGCATCTTCCTTCTAGCTGACTTCTTCAGTGTTTCCACAGATGTGGTCTGCCACTGTAAGAAATTATGTGTTACTTTTTTTTTAAGTTCCTTTCTCAACATTTTTAAGCATGGATATCGTCGATTTGTTCCTGGACCTGCTTGGATTGGGATCTGATGTGGCTAGATTGTACTTGGTTTTTACTTTTCTGCAGAAATTAAAGTTATATTTCAACATAGTTTCATTGAAGTGTGTGTGGGAATAAGGAAAAAGAACCAGCAACTTTCCCCTATACAGAGCAAATTATAATTATGAGTACACATCGCTCTCCTCAGCTGATTTCTTGAATGTGATTTCAGTATAGTTTAATATAAAGCTTTCGAGAATATTGCAATATGAACAATGTGGTTCAACCATTTCATAGTGTCTCGTGAAAAAAATGTATGTATATAGACTAGGTGTTTCAATATATTCCCACGAGCTATTTCCAAATCAGACTGTTATGCCATAGTGTGAACTTCTAAAACTGCCAGCATAATTATGTATGCATATCAAGAATAAAGTGTAAGTGTACAAGTTGCCCATATTTCATTCAGATTATAGTAGGATTCAAACATTACAGCTTAGTGATTGATTTCTCTCAGAGAGAGAGAGAACTTCACAGTTACAATATTCTGAGATGATCACCTTGTCCGTAGTTACAATCATACATATCAGCAGTTTGTTGTTGCAATATGGCAGTGCTACACAGGTCCACTATTTTCTGCCTTTCATTTGAAATAAATTAAACAGACACCTTAAACACTAAGTCTTTTGCTTATTTTTCAAAATATGATGGTGCCTTGGTTTTTCATTTTTGAAAAAAAAAAACAGTAAAATGTACCTGAATTGAAATAACCCCAGCAGAATTGTATTTTCAGAAAAAAAGAAGCTGGAATATTTTGCTGCAGGTTCAGCAAAATATCTCTGGGCTCTGTTGGCTCTTACAAATACAAATGTGGGTTAGGCCAATCAGCCAAGCTATGGGGAGGGAGGGGAAGACCTCCAAGTGATAGCTCATAAGGAAAAAACCCAGTCCTTCCCCTCTACTTTTTCCATCCTTTGTCTTCCCTTCCAAATTTTCTTTGATAAAGCTCAGGCTTAGAGATACCTTGTGTCAAGTTTACCCATTGACTTGAATTGTGTTATGGGAACAGTGATGTCAAGGTTGCTGTACTGAAATTCCTGCTTAGCACATTTGAGCATGAAAAAAGTATCAGCAGTTGTAGTACCTGTTAGGGGTATTCTGACATAAGTAAAGAATGTTGTTTGGTTAAAATATCCTTCAAAACTAATGGAATTTTTAATTTCAAAACATCAGGATGCAACAGTTATGGCTTTTTGGGTATCTCGACAGTTACCTGGAGTGTCTTAAAGGAACTCATGTATGCCTTGTAATTCACATTTGTGTTGTATGGATTACACTATAACCTAATAAATTCCTTAATTAATTCACAGCCTAAAAAATTCCAGGACTGTTGTTATTGCAAATTTTCAAATACATTTTAACTCATTTGTTTGTGGGTGTGTTCATGCATGCATGCACACAGTAGTCAGTATTCTCCCACTTATGACACATTCAGTACACAATTTTGTTTATGTGAGTTTTCAGGTTTTTCACACTAGTTACCATTATGATTTGGTCTCATACCTCATTAATTTTATCAAGATCTTGTTTTACAGTTCAGAAAGTAGAGAAATCTTATTGGTCATAGCCACAGATTAACAGATCACACTATTTAATTTGGCCTATAACGGAATAAATACACCCATCAAGCATAAAATAAACTCTTTCAATCTAGAACCCAAAATAGTTAAAATGGAAACTTTTTTTTTTGGGTCTGTATTAATTTATGAGAATCTGTTACATTCAATTAACAGATAATTGGGCCACTTTTATTTACCATTTCAGTACATAGGGTGATTTGCTGGTTCTTTTTTCCAGATATATATTTTTATCATTTTAACTTATTTGCTTCATGATGTGTCAGTTTGTAAGACACACAGTTTTCCATCTGCCGACCTTCACAAGATAATGTAAGTGTTGCTCAGGAGTTGCTTGAATTAAAACAGACTGCCAGTGCAACCAAATAATCAGTAAGATGAAGTAAGGAGATCGTTTTGTTGCAATGATTTCCATTTTGCGTTAACCTTGCAAGGGGAAAGAGATGCAGAAATTGAAGTTATTGATAATCATAGTTAGCCTTACTGGCTAAACTGTCTTATTATAGTTGGTTGATGGTAATGATATGCCATATTTCAGGTTACACTTGGGCCAGGGAAAGAATCATGGGTGGTAGGAATTAAGTCAGCTGCTTACTCCCCCACCCTACCTACATTTCACCCCTTCCCTCCATCAACACCAATAAATTAGAATGCAAAGGGGCAAAACCTGCAAACAAAATGGAAGAGAATGCAAATGACAACTGATTGAAGTTATGAATCTTGAAAAAGGGTGGTAGCTGCTAGGCAGGTTGTTCAGCTTTTCCCTGACCTGAGTGTAATGAGTAGTGCTGATGAAATGTAGTTTGGAATATGGCAGTAAATATGTGTGCCTATGTTGGTTCTGAGTTTGCTCATCATTATATGTTGCAAGGCTGTCCACCACTAACATGCAGTTGATCACATCTGTCTGTTGCCACAGCAAGCATATGCTCAGTATAGTGTTGGTGTGTGATGATGAACACAGATTTGTGTGTCTTGTGGCAAAGCTATCGGCATGTACCACTCATTATTGAGGGTCTAGTGCATCACTTGCATCACCCGCCTCTGTGCAGGTAAAAGACACTTTCTATTATAGGGTTGTCAATCGATGAATCTTGTTTAGTTTGACTTTTACAAACATACCAAAGTAATGTACTAATTGATATGTTTAATTCCGTAACTTATTTTATTTTCTCTCAAAGGTTTTATTTCTTTCCATTTCATGTATTGTTTCAGAATTCATTATTATTCTTGTATTGATTATACCATTTACTAGTACCCTATCTATCGATAGACAACTCTGTTCTCTAATCTAAACTGCAGTCGTCACATAGCATCATCGTATTCTGGTATACAACTCCAGGTTAGTGTGGCAAGCCTTACTTTAATACAGCTTATCTTTTATCTATGCACTGGCAATAAAGGTAAGGCTTGCTGTGAAAAATAAAATCTGTATGCCTTTGGAACAGATTACAGTCGCCATAGTGTTACATAATAAACAGGACTGGAAGTAAACAGGGGTTATTTCACACTGGATAGTTTATATAGATTTACATTAGAATTTGAACTGTTTAGTCTGGATGCTTCCTCTGACTTTCGTTTGCTACTTGTAGCTTCAAGACATTTCAGTAATGCTGCATTGCATAAGACAGAACACAAAATTCTGTGACGGATTCTTCTAATGAATTTTATCAGCTTTAAAGGAGTCTCATCGTAATTGGATACAGTGATTCCAGTGGCCCCACTTATTAAAGCACTTCTACTACCCTTCATTTGGGATGTTGTTCACTTCTTATGTTACATTATCTCCAGCAAACTTCCAGCCCCACTACTGGTCTGAGTGGTGAATAGGGCGAGTAATGGATCAGGGAAATATTATGCTTGGACTAGAACTGTCATATGCAGAGCCCCAAGCGAGCCAGTATATCTTCACTGTGGAACATCCACAGATCCATCTTCCAGTTTCCCCTAAACTCCCATACCTTAGACAGGCATTTCAGACCATCCATATAAATACTTCATCATGTGCCTGCCACTGTGAATTATGTTATAAACATCAGTTTCCCCTCATTATGTGATGGTGAACGGCAAGGACATGAAGCATCTACAGTCAACCAAACCACTCAAATATTGTATTTCATTGAGAGTTTCTTCAAATGTAGATTTACGGGATCTGTGTACATAATTCTGGTTTTCACACTGAACTTGACATATATACACATTGTTCCATAATGTCATCCATTTTGTGGTGTGACAACCATTGTTGTCATGTGTATATGAAACGGCAGTTTCCTCATAACTTCCTCCAGCAGGGAATTTTATGATTGGCCAGTGTATGCGTTCTAGTTTGTATTCACTTCTCCACGTTTTGCTGAAGGTTTTCACAAGTAGGTTTCAGCTGCTTTCACCTCTGAATAAGCTAATGATTAGACATCAACTTTCTTCTGGTGGACATCCTTTCTAATTGTTTTTTCACGTAATTCCCATGCCAACCTTTCATCTGAACATGTATGCGTTCTAGGAAAGTAGGATACTATGACTTGTTTCCAGTTTTTCAGTGCTGTACTGTCATGACTTCTGCATCATTACATTTTTATGTCTTGCTCAGGCGATATTTGAAAAAGGGAAAAGTTAGTCAGCTTTGTGAGGAAGGATACTGTCATATGTTAGTGGTGTGAGGTAGTGAACTGTCTTGTGCCAGTGGTATGAGATAGGAAACTAGCTTGTATCAGTGGTATGAGGTGGGGAACTGCCTTGTACCAGTAGTATGAGGTAGGTGCCAGAAGCTTGACAAAAACAGGATTTTTCTTTGTTTGGTATTTTGATTTTTACATCAACCTGAAAAAGCTCATAGTTGACTGCTTTTGTTTATGAAATTTCATAGTTCAGACATGCAAGCATTGCAATATGCTGTAGTTCTGCACTCAGAAATGAGCTACAAGAATGTCATAACCTGAAACAAAGAGAAGTCTTTATTTTGTCCTCTAAAAACCACTAACATGCTGGACTATTAATATGTAGTGTTGTTGAAGACATTGTGAATGTTGCCCTGTTGAGCTTGAAAATGATTGCAGACATTTAGTGAAATGAAAATTGTTGGCATTATATAGTTAGATATTTAGGTGCATTTCATAATAGAACGAGTGAACAGATTTTGATTAATTCTCTGTTTCAGAACTCACACAAAATTTTAAGAGTAAAATAATAGTGGTAGTTATATGAAACATGCCTGTCTTGTGTAACAGTTTGTCATCTGTTTTAATTCTGGAGGAAATTACTTTTTAGTGTATATTTTGACAGTCGTGTGATAAAGTAACAAGAAATTATGATGCGTCTTTTATTTCCATACTGTATAGTGAAATTTTTGTTTCATAAGTCAGAAGAATTACCATAAGACTTGCTGTACATTCACACTGTAAGATGTGATCAGATTTTGGGCAGCATTATCCAGAAAAGAGGTATGTCTTATGCTCTCTAAAATATGGTAGTGAAAATGTTATTCCAAAAACTCCGTGCGGTAGTTTAAATCAGTTTTTTCTGCTTTAATTGAAATTACTGCTGGTTGTTTTGTTTGTTTTAGATAGTAAATGTTATAATTAAAGGAAAACTGCATAGTTAAAAAAGTCTGTATCTTATGCTGATCAACTGACCACTAAATGTTTGCATTCATGACATGGATAAAGACAACTGCTACTATTATTAGTAGCTTTTGGAAGTATCTTATATATAATGTATAAAATTGTGAAAATTGTGTGGTCATGCATTGTCATGCTTCAGAAGTGAAGTTAAGGAGCTTACTGTATGCTGTTATTGGTATTCCAGCGTAAGTAATTGGCTGCTGGATTGTTGTGTTGTGTGATATTAGTTTGGAGCAGCAACATTTAATAGAGGTAATACTGTCAGCTAATAAGTTGTTGTGGAGTTTTTTTCCTCTCCTCCCCCACCCCAACCTTTAGAATCTGCAAATGAACGTCAGTAATATTAGGTGGATTTATTACAACCTAAGGGTTTTGTGTCAGATATTGATGTACAACCACGTGGCCACTGAAGCTGTTAAAGTTCATTAATTGAGAAACAAATGTGACATAATTCAAAGTTTTAACCTTTTAGACTCTAGGTCTTAGGGATACATATATATAACCTGAAGTAAAAAGGTGAAGTTAACTAATTAAGCACTATGCCATGAAGACATGTGGGAGAGTGGATGTATAAATCCACGTTTTCTTGGCCTTTGTACTAGCTGGAGGTGAGTGGTCAGCTTCACACCCTGGCTGCTTTTCCCCCAGGAAAAGAGCCTCCGGTACCCATAACAGAGAAGGCTGGGTGGGCATCATATCCGATCTGAATGACAAGGAGAAGGGAAAGTTATATAAGTTGAAGTGTGAAGGTTAGTTTAAATGTGTGTAAGGAATTTATGAACAGACTGTATAAGAGTTATGTTCATTCATTTTGCTATGAAATGCTGTTTGGAATATAGTCAAGTGATGTTCAATTGCAGATTTTTAATATGGAGCCACAATTCCATCAGTACTATACTATCCAGATGAGAATTAGACATAGAAACCTATAATGTACAATGTGACTCAACTGTAAGGGATTAACAGTCATCTCAAATTCAGAACATAGCCTGGTCCTTCTTCCATTTTTAATACAGTAAAGCTAAAAAAGTTCTTTCAATAATTTAGTTTTGTATTCTGGAATTGGTTGCAAGTATATCTGAATCATTCTCACAAAACCTTCAGAAATCTAGATTTCTGTTCTATAATGGAATGATTATGTGTCAAATGAGATTCATTAAGTTTTTCACGTTTGTTGGCACAGAAAACAGTGTCCCATGTGTGAACAGATAATGCAACATTTTTCATAATCCTAAACCGAGTGAAATTGATATAGAAATGGTTGTGATTATTTTGTTTTAATTTTGCTGTTACTAGTAAGTGTTGCCTTGGAAAAGTTCGGAATTCTGTAACGTGCAACCACATTAATGGCCTCTTCTTTTCAGGCCTGTTTTTCATATGTATTTATTTCAAGGCATNAGGATATTTTAAAAACTTAGTATGCATTCTTGGAACAGTGAAACTCAAAAACTGTGGTTGTAGAAAGGTTCTTTTACTGTAGTGAAGATTAATAATAGGTTTTAGAAACATAGTTGTTTATATGGTGTTCAGTAAATTAAAAGTAATTGAAGGTAAGTTATACTGGCCATGTGTGAAGCCCCAGATTTTATTTTTAAGGAATGCTTCAACCAGATTACTCTTAGTTGTGAATGATGGATATTGTGATGTGATGTTCTGTACTATGTTATGGTTTCTGACTTTTGGCGCAATTGTTGGAGCAGATATTAGGATGCATAATGTTGCAGAATTTCATATATAATTGGCTGTATTTAAATCTGTGTCACCAAAGAACATAGTATAATGTCATGTTTTGCATATTGTTTAAGTTCTGATGCCAGTAAACATCCAGCCAATTCTGATCATACATCGTGCTTGACCATAGTATTAACAGTGAAAAAGTAGCATGTGGTAGTGCTCTGTTCTGCCAGCCTAAAATTCACAGAAATCTGACTAGTTAAAATTTATTCTTTCTTTCTTTTTTAGCAGCATGAGAAAAGAAAGAATACCTTTACTAAATTTTAAGAATGAAGTGATTCATTCTCATGTACCATTGAAAAACATAGGAAACAGTGAGTGACATTCAATCAAAAATATGGAAGTAGTTTCAAAGTGTCATGTTCGTAGGTGACCTATGAAAGTTGTAAATAGGTTGAAAGACCACACATGTAGAAGATCTGTTGAATAGGTAAATCACTATAAGAAATATACACACAGGCATGTTCCTCCAACAACTGCTTTTTTTGAACTTCTTTGAAGTAACTTCTCTTTTAAAATCATGATTATTTTTCTATAATGTTCTGTATGAAATATGAAAAGTATAAAGAGTAATTTTATGAAATTTTTGTATCTCACAGTGATAATACTGAAGATTACTGTCTTGGATCTTATGCTGTGTAGTCTGTTAGATCATTACCACCATTTTGGAAGAGCCTCCTGCCTCCATCTTCAGGGTACCCTGAAAGCAGAAAATGCTTCCTAAATGTTGATAATGGTATACCAGTTCATGAAGTGTCACATCCCAAAAGATTGTAATCTTAACAGTAGTATTGTTTTGTTCCTTTTTGAAACATAGCCCTGGCAGCACAGAAATTTAGCTGGCAGTTTTAAGGTTAAATGTGTTGCTGCTTCCAACTGATATAATAATTCATTGAAGGTTGGTAAAGCAAGGCTAAAGATTTTTAAGTAATTCACTCCTGAATGAGGTAAGCACCATCTTTGTGCTCACATGGCAAGAAAAGCATGGAAAGGTCCCAATGTGCTATATCTATATGAGCTATAATAATTATCTATTATAGTTACAGCAGTTGCACTTCAGATAACATATGGCCTTATGCTTAAACTTAGTTACCCTGAAATTAATGGCATTAGTGTTTAATTCTCCTCAGTATTGTGAATTGGGTACCAAAGAGGTTTGCGTAACAATTCTAGACTTGTATCCAAGGGGTGCTTAGTTTAAATCTCTTCCTCAGCACCAGGTGTCCTGAGGTTTTTTTGTGGTTTTTCCATGGTCCCTCTTGGCAAATGCCAGGATTGTACCATCATTAGACCACATCTGCTTCCTTCCATATCTATTTCAATTCATTATTCATACTGTTTTTCGATGTTACATAGTCTCAGTACTAACAGCATCATTAAATGACAGCCAGTGAACCAGTCTGAACCAGGTTTCTCTCAGGTTCAGAATTAAAAAAATAATGAATTTCATATTTGCAAGGCAAACCTAGAACAGACAGATGGAATTTTCACTACCCCTCTCAAGTTATAAATTGATTGTTACTTCCATATCCAGATATGTGCAAAGGTAAAAAATAGTGATCCAGATAGGATAAAGTACAATATAAAGGGAAATGATTATTCACTGAAGTATTCTTCGGTTGTCATCATCAGTTCAAATTAAAACCAAGACATTTCAGTCTATCACACACTGTCACGTCTAGATTAAGCAGTGTTGATCTGCTTCATTTATGGGATGGGGATCGCTTTACTATGCCCACTGATCTCCCTTTAACTAGTTCCTGAGCAGTGAAGTATATTACACCATGTGTATTATAGAGGTCACTCTTTACATCAAGTCCCTGATGGATACAGAGGCAGTCTGTGACATACAGTTTAATTTCATATTGATATTACTGATTATTGCCCAAGAAGACTTCAGTGTAGCAACAATGAAAGCAGATTTTATATATGAGGAAATAATCATATTTGTTTTTGCAGTTCAATGTTGGTGGGGGTGGGGGCTTACTTTTTTCTTCCTTTATGAAGGTTCTGATTAAGTGAAATTTACTGGAAAGGCAGTGGAGCCAGAACTAATTTCAGAATATTTGGCATTGTGCTCATGTACAATTACATGTTGGGATCTTGAGACTGAGAAGGGGATAGGACACTTGTAGTAATGATTATAGCATTGTTCATTTTGTTGTAATTACACCTGAAGGTGGTTTTTTGAAATTGTTTTAAAATAGCTTTCCTAAAACACTACATGAATCTAGTTTTTAATTTTGTCAGAATAAACTGAACTGTATGAAATTATCATTCTTATCTTTATTCCTTATCGCGAGGTAGGTGCAAGAAAGCAGAAATATTGTAAAGTGGTATTGTGCCTCATAAAACAGAGTGATGTCCTATTCCCTCTTAAGACCCTTGATTTGGTCAGCTATCTTCCAAGATGTTCATAATTTCTTTGCTAGCATATTATTTTGTGGCATTTGGTATGTGGTTGTATTGTTTCTGACATGGAAAAATATACTGTGATGCTAGTGAGCTGACTAAATTGGAGGTTGTGTGGGGTAGCATGAATGACAGGTGGTGGCAATGACCAGCCAACCAGCGACAATCTGGACCAAGTCCCAAGGTAGTACCAACAATCACAGCTAGAGGCAGCTGTTGGACTCCTGTCCCCTGTCTTCCTGACAGGCGATTGTATTTTGTATCTCTCACTTGCTCACATGTCTCAATCACAGCACATTGCTGTTGGACTGTTGTCAGTCCCCTGTCTTCCGACAGGCGATTGTATTTCTTGCAACAACCAATCACAGCACGGAGCTGTTGGACTACCTTTAGTCCCCTGTCTCGAAGGCAGGCGATTGTTTTTCTCCACAAGCAATCAATCACAGCACTGACTGCTGTTGGACTGCCGTGCCAGTCCCCTGTCATTATTGACAGGCGATTGTTTTAATTATTCATCCAATCACAGCTTGATGCTGTTGGACTACTCAGTCCCCTGTCTCTGTTTACAGGCGATTGTGTGTTTTTATCTTTTCTTCTGCTTTTCCACTGTCATGTCAGTTATAAAACAATATACATATAGAAATTTGATTCCTGTTGCAAGCAACTAGGGTATTAATAACATTCAAGAAGTCAAGTAAGTTGAAATGTTTGTATTTCAGTCCCTGAAGATTGTTTTGTCTTTTGCTGTTGACTTGCATTAGCACAGTTAATTTCATTGTTGTGTATTCTTCACTGTATTTAATGTGTAGAAACTTCAGGAAAAAGAATAAAATCATTTGGAAAATATATTTCTTGCTTATTTTTAAGTATTATGATAATGCAATACATGTTAAGTGCCTCATGCATTCTTTTTTATTGGTGGGCTGTTGTTCACAATCAGAATATTGCTATTTTTTAAATGGGCATTGTGTATGCTTTTAAGTAGAAAGTTCTTGAAATCAAAACTGTAGGATTAGTCATTAAAGTATTTTCATGTATTGGCTTTTGAAATGAACAGCCTACTGGTTCCACATCGCTGCTATCAGAGTGGGAATGATTAATATCTATATGCTTAAAACTTTCTACTTGCTAGTGTTATCATGTCAGGCGCTTTCAAATCTGAAGACTTTTTATCTCTAAGGCTAATATATTTGAGAAATGTTGCACTCCAGTGCACTTTAAAATAAAAGCATGGTAACATATAATTGCCATGAATTCCTACAAGCAATAAGCATTTCTTCAGAAATACATAGGAAAACTTGTTTCAGAAACGTAGTGTTGTAATTTTGATTTGTGATGTGATGAGCTCAAGATGCATAGAAACCTAGAAGTTCCTAATATCTAATAGGATTTTGGAGACATTCAATTTTTGGAAACTCCAGCCCAAATCTGTTAGGTGG